AAATAGTTCCCTTACTGCACATATTCTCAGGGCCTGGCTGGCAGGAAGGGAATCGCTTTCATTCGCCATATAGTACTTTTCAGCGTCCGAGTAAATCTGCGGTTGGAACTTTGACTTTCTTATATCCTGGGGCGGTTTCACGACTTCTCGCCAATTGTGAGAGAAATCTTCAGGAGAGACTACTCCGCCGGGGAAGACGTTGCGACCACCAAACGATCTGCTGCCGTTGGGTCGTTTCAGCATTAAAATATGGTAGTCATGGTTAAATGCCTTATTAAGGTAGCGGCTGCCACCTAGAGAACTGCATAGTCTCTCTGCGAATGACGAGTGGGACGTTAATATTATTGATGCGGCTAATCTCCAAGGTGGGAAGTCTAGGACGCGCATCCTATTGTGCGCAAAGCTCCGGGGTGCATTAAACGAAGCAAAATAAGAAATATCACATTGGGAATGGATTATATCTTATTTTATTTGCATAACTGTAAATTATTCTGTATTAAAATAATATTTTTACCAAAAATTGCGTCAGCGATAATAAATTTATTTTTAAGAATTTGTATAATTTAAACACCCTGGTTATCTGAAGTAAGAAATGGATAAGCATATCAAATGGGTCTCATTGGAAGCCAGGGGATGATTTATCTCGAATCGTTACCTTAAATTTCTGAACATATATCCTCGATGAACCGTTACGTTGACAGGTGAATTCTTATAGCCAGGTCTAAACATCACACTTCGTAAATATTCTTCCAAAAATTTCTGGATTATCAGAATTTTCCTTTTCAAAATATTTGTCATGATTATACATCAGTATAAAAGATTCAAGCAGCTTGTTATGAATGGCTGGCTGTTCCGGTTGTGAATATTCAAAATATGTATTGATGAAAGTAATTTGACTTGACAAACGCTAGATCTCTTGAGAGTTAACATTAGATACCGTTGTTTACTATTTGGCATTAATCGATCTGCACAGCTATTAAAAATGATGTATTAAGAAAGTAACGTTACGAGTCAGTGACTCCTTAATCAATGGCATGCGTTGGATAATGGAGTACTGATGCATAATCTCGTCTTTATTGTGTATAGGAACAGGTTAATTTGTAAAATAAGTCACTAGACACTAGGTAAGCATAAATGTAATAAATTAAATCACAAGATGTAGATTTACCAGTTCCTTAAGTGATTATTTTTAATCTACCTAGAAATGAATCTTATAGCACACAAACTATTTGTATATTCTAAAGCTAGAAACAAAAGTATATTTAATAAAGCACTGATGAAATCCTTCCTCATCCTGATGATACTTATATGCTCACATTTATTCTTTAGGCTATCCCCACCAACATGTGGTTTCCATCCTTTAATTTTAAATTGCATGGTCATATAGAAGAAAACAGAGAAATCGCAAGTGACGATACAATGGCACAAATAATTCGGTTTGATTATTTTCAGAGATTATTTATCTTTATAGACCTAAACTATCAAACGTGTTTATTGATTACTAATATGTGATGGATAAAATAATTCTACTCAAAAAATGCTACTTCTTCATATGGTAGATGTTATAATTTTATGTACGTCGTAAAGTTATCTCGTTTATTAGAACGCAAGGTTATATTCTTACACTGGCTATGGTTACATATTTCCACTATTTCATATTTAGTGTATGCATTTGAAGAGAATCTGCGAATGAGCATATAATATTCTAGATGCGCAGGCTGTATCAAATATAAGATATGAAGACCAAGATGTTGTGGCCTCTGATTTGGTCGCAGTCTCTTTTCGATTTATAGAAGTGGGTTGACTTCGTTGTCGCAACAAGGTCAACCCACTTCTGTATCAAATATAGACGCATTGTATACATATTTTTGCTTGCTTCGTAAAAGATAGAAATGAAATACCTGGATTTTAGAGCATATTAATAATCTGTCCATCTTGGCACCATAATTTTACTTAAAGGGAAGGCATAGTGATGCCTACTACCGACGGTTAATCTCAATTACGGCTTTCAATTATTCCTCCCAATGGATGAGTTATCCAAAATCGATTTGAATAAATTTGCAAATATACACAAATTATAGGGTTATCTTGGCATGGATTTGAATCCCATCAAGTGATCCAATGCGATTTTGGCAAGATCGAACTTTATTCTACACTCGATGGGCAAACTCTACGATATAAGGCTAAGTGAAAGTCAATGGAACAATGAGGCGAACTTATATCGTTTTAAAATCTTCGCTCTCATTTCTTAAACCATCTTAAGCAACTCAGGAGAATGATTTCATAACCTTGCTACTTTTTATGTAAGTATTATCAAAAATATATTGATAGATATTGTACTGTATACAGTAAAGTTGGCGCGTATGCAGTCCAGATGTAGATTCAAGCAAAACACGGCTTCCCTAATATCCCATTAAGGGGTACATATAAAAGAGAAATACAACTCTGACAAGAAGCGAAATATGATGAGAGGCTAGGTTTCGAAAAATCTCTTAATAGGTTGATACTCGTGTATCTTTTATTTAGTTTGAGAAGGCGGGTCGAAAGGATTAGTAGAGTAACCGGATATCGCAGGAGGGTTGCCTTGAACTTTTGTCTGTTGAATTGTGCATAGAAGACCTTGGCTTACCGTCTTACGACCCTGATAACTTCATGCTGAGCTTACATCCGTCTTGTGACGTACATCGTCAGAGCTATGAACCATTATTTACGAAAAATCACCAAAAACACTAAACCAAGAAAGGGTGGCCAGCCAAGATCCTACTTACTTCTTATACCTCACTTTACGAGCTTAATACGGCATTCCATGATTTGGTTGGCTGATATATGCTTGTCCTACATGCATGCAAGTAGATCAAAGTGATACAGTAAAGGGAGCAGATCTAGACCCAACCTTTGTCTATTTAAATAAACTAGAGTATGATCGAATTGTCCTGGGTCTTGTTACAGCTTGGTGTATGCGTTTATTCAATAACCTTGAGTTGGCTGACAATTTTAGGTTCAAAAACAAGCTCCAGCCTAGTCCAGTCTTCTCCTTTTACTCACTGGCTCTCCCTGTCCCTTTTCCTTCTCGTTCTCTCATTCTATTTAAAAGCCAGAGATAGTTATTACTTAGTTTCCTACATTCATTACTCTTATTCGGGATGTTGTATGTTTTATTTATTTAAATGGACTCCCTGATCTTTGTGTAGCTGTGAAGTCCGCATATCCTGCAAAACGTTGGGATTTAGACCAGTTTATTTGATGTTATGTAACAACCACATGTTCAGCCACTTCCGATTTCTGAATACATAAACCTTTGCCTGAAGTTCTCTGTTCTGATAACCTCATATGCATGGGTTAACAAGTCTCCCCCACATGAACACCATTAAATACAAAATCTTTTACCAACCCGATCTGCAGAGAGCGTAGGAATCTTCTCTAAAAGTAGGCTTAATCGAAGAAGGCCTTGTTGTTTCTTTTATAAATTGTTTTAAAACTCCATTTCCTCAATATTCGCCTAATGCTTTTTAGTGATTTTTTGCGAATATTGGTTTCTGGCTCTGACAATGTCCATAACAG